AAAAAAAAAAAAAAAGGGATATCCCAACTTCCTGACATCCCTTGACATATCTAACTCCTCTCTAGCTATGCTTTTTCCTTCCCTTATACAACAGTGAAAGAGGGGTCCTTCTTATCCAAGGCCATCCCTGCACTTGTGCTTTAGACCCCTCTCCCTCTCACCTCCTCGGAGCTCTTGCGCTATTAAGTGTGCTCTCTCTGACGGGTCTTCAGCCTCCCCGTTCCTAGTTCTGTCGCCATTTTAAACATGCCCAGTTCTCTCCCATCTTCAACAAACAAAATCGCCATCCTTGCTCCTATATCATCCCTTAACTACCATCAGCTACTGAGACGGGTTTTCATCTTCTCACTTCTCATTCATTCCCTCATCCTTGACCCTTGATGGGCTTTTCTCCCCATCACTTACCCAACACACCTGTCCTTTCAGAACCAAACAACACTCATCCTTTCTGGAATGTTCTTTCCACTGGCATCTGGCATCTCTCCCTTCCCTCCTCACCTCTCCAAGTGCTCCTGCTTGGTCTCCTGTATGTGTTCCTCCTCCTTTACCCATTTTCTAAAGGGTTCCCTCTTGAACCCTCTCTTACTAAATTTTATTTTTTATTGTGGTAAAATATACATAAAATGTTAACCATTTTAATGTAGAGTTCAGCACTCTCTTCATTCTATACGTTCTCCCTGAAGCAATCTCATCCATTCTTGTGACTTCACTTAACCTAATGAAGGTTTCCAAACCTGCTTCCCTAAATTACACCTCTCTCAGGAGCTCCAGATCCATTTATCTCCTGCCTACTGAGTATTCTTACTTGCTCATACTATAGACGCCTCAAAAAGAATGTGTCCTAAACTGAAATCATCTCTGCCCGATAACCCCTCACCACTCCACCCCTGCCCCCCACCAACCTGTTTCACCTCCCTGGTGTTTCTGGTTGCAGTGAATGTTTGCTTTCACATCTGGTTGCCCAAACCAGAAACCAGAGTCACTCTGGAGTCCTCTGTATATTCTTCACATCCAACCAGTCATCATGGCCTGTTATTTTGATCTCTTTCATAATTTCTGAATCTGTTCACATATCTTCATTCTTACTATGGCTACCTTAGTTTAGATCATCACTGCTCACTTGGACGGATGGATGGACAGACAGATAGACAGACTGATTTTTAAGTAGGCTTCGCATCCAGTATGGAGCCCATTGTGGGGCTTGAACTCATGACCCTGGGCTCAAGATGTGAGCTGAGATCAAGTCAGACACTTAACCAACTGAGCCACCCAGGTGCCCCTCACTTTGACAGTTTAAAAACCCTACTGCCACCTTGTCTCTACTCTGCCCCTGTCTGATTCCTTCTTCATACTTTAGCCAAAGTATGAAGTACTAAAGTCTGATTGGGCCACCTCCTTGATTAACACCTTCTAGTAACTTCCTATTAGTCTTAGGATTCACCCTACTCCACTTCCCATGCCGTTTATTTTTTTTAATGTTTATTTATTTTTGAGAGGGAGACAGACAGACAGACAGATGGACAAAGTGTGAGCAGGAGAGGGTCAGAGAGAGAGGGAGACATAGAATCTGAAGCAGGCTCCAGGCTCTGGGCTGTCAGCACAGAGCCCGATGCGGGGCTTGAACTCACGGACCATGAGATCATGACCTGAGCCGAAGTCAGACACCTAACCAACTGAGCCACCCAGGCGCCCCCTACTCGTTCCAGTTTAAATCTCAATTCCATCACCTTTATGTTCTACATAATCTGTTATGTTATGTACCACCCATCCGTCATGTTCTCGCTTGCCTCCAGGCTGATCTATATTGTTCTCTGTGTAGGGAACCCCCTTGTCCCCAGTGCTTCAGCTGGATAACTTCAGCTTAGTTCAGACATTCTCTCTTTCAGCAAGCCTTCCTCGACATCTCCTAAACTTCATGCGGAGCCTCCCTGCGTGTCCCGTACCACCTTGCCCTGGCTCTTACCGTGGCGCTTGTTACACTGCCCTGACCCGGCCAGTTTACTTGCCGTGCTCCACCTCTGGTGAACTGGGAACGCCTTCCGGGCAGGACTCTGTCTCACTTGCTGCTATAGCCCAGTACCTAGCATGGGGGTTGGCACACAGTGCGTACCAGATGCATGTAGAATGAGTGAATCACAGACAGAAAGAAGCGAAGGCATTTCAGACAGAGGGAGCGGCCCTGTGAAAAACTCAAGACGTTGAACCACCTAAGAGGAACAGATTCACACTGAAAACCAAGATGCTGGAGCGCTTCTGGGCAAAAGAAACATAGAGATGCAGGTGATGTGGAAAGCTAGGTTCCAATCCCAAGGACACTCACCATAGGAGAAGGTGTCTGGCATAGGAACCCCATGTCCAGCCAGCTCTTGGAAAGTCCAGAACTTGTTGACACAGTTTAAAATGCTCTGTGGGCGGTTGACCAGGCGGCAGCCCAGCTTCTCCAGGTGGCGCAGGACGGTGATGTCGCTGTCTGACTGCACTGAGGGTGTGGGCACCCGCACGAGCACCACGTCTGGGAAAGTGGTAAGCGCCTTCTGGTTCAGCTGAAGACCTGCAATCGAAGGGCCAGCGTGAGTTCTATGCTTGCCACGGTCTGGTCCCACCAGAAGAACTGGTTCTGACAGACTCAAGGCTCAACCCAGCAGGGAGACAGCCTTGAAAATGGCACTTGGATATCCTGTAGTAACAAGAAAGCTACAGTCAACCCCGCACTCCACACAAACGGGCAGAGCATGATCATGAGGAAACACAAAAGAATGAACAGGAAACAAAAAAAGAAAGAAAGAAAAGAAAAGCAGCATATCAAGAATAATCCAAGTTAGAAGAATCCACAGGAGATTTACATAGTCCAGCACCTTCCTTCGATGGAGCACTAGTATTACTCAAAGTGTAGTGTCTTTCAAGGCTGGAGACGAAATAAAAAGGAAGCAGTGCAGCTCACTTAAGGAATCCTTACTAGTCTTTTATGACTTAACCTTGAAAAGTCTATCTGGAGGGGCACCTGGATGGCTCAGTCAGGGGAGCAGGTGACTCTTGATCTTGGGGTTGTGAGCTCCAGCCCCACACTGGGCATAGAGATTACTTAAAAAAAAAAAAAAAAAGATAAAAATATGTCTGGAATATTATATAACCATTTAAATGATTTTTATGAATGTAATAAATGCAAAAATGCCAATGTTAAGTGGAAAAAAACAGGACACGAAATTATAAATACAAGTTAGAAAAGACTAGAAGGAAATATACCAACATTTTAACAATGGGTAATGGGATTATAGGTAATTTCCTATTTTCTACTTATCTGTATTTTCCAAGATGTCTCCAAGTGCATATTCTCCTTATAACAACAAAACTCTTAAAAAAATATCAATCTGCTAAAAATCAATTCAATATTAAACAAAAGCAGAATGCATCTGAAGAGAGCTGGTCCACACAGCATAAGGGCACGGGCAAACCGGGAGTATCAGCTTGGAGTGAAGACTCAAGAGGATCAGCAGTTCAGTCTTCATGGATCTGCAGGGCTTTCATGCAGAAGACATAATTTGGTTTGTCTTCTCTAGCCCCAAGAGATAGAGCTATCCATGAGCATTATTTTGTCTGTCTGTTCACTCTTGTATCCCCAGCCCTTAGAACAGTGCCTGGTGCATGATAGGCACTTGATGGTTGCTGAATTGTTGAGAGGCCCCAGGGAAATAGGTTTGGAACCACAGAGGCAGGAAATGGGATGGGTAGGGCAATGAGGAGTGAGTTCAGGGAATTACTTGGTCAGCCTTCGTGAACCTTAAAGGAGTCTCTACCAGGCTCTAAAGAAAATCTAAACACAGTGTTTAAATCTAAAATTTAAACAGTGTCAGAACCATCTTATAGGCTTTAACCCAAGTGCCTTCTATTTCATAAGTGACACGCTGTACAACCACAGAATTCGGAGAACACAAAAGATGCTCATGAAATCACTATTTTTCCACTGGGGGGGATGAAGAATCTCAGTACAAAAACTCAGAGCAAAACAAAAGTAAACAAGCAAAGAAACCAAAACCACAAAACGACTACATGGATCTAACCTGCATAGTTTCCCCCACGTTCTAGAAGATGTTTCATCAATGCAACAAAAGGGGGTCGGTGTAATCACGGAGATAAATTGTTTTTAGTACTTCTGCGGATAGCGTGAACCCGAGGAACTAGAACAGAATTCTCAGGGGTGATTTATAAAGAGCATTTAGGTTATCTTCCCTTTGCCGTCAGAAAACAGTATCATTTATACAGGCTTTTTCCTTTTGCCACTTACAGCCATTGGGGAAAATAACATAAAAGGAGAAGAAGAAAAAAAAAAAAGAGCAAACCCCGTATAGCATCCTCAAAACTGATAGAAGAAAGAAAGAAAAGTATTCATGTTGCTGAAAATGGGGAGTAAACACGCAGGGCAAAAGCAACAGCCTGAGACGACATCACACGAGGAGCTAATATGAGCAAAAATGCTTTGAAAACCATATAGTGCCATACACACGTGAGGCGCTGGCATCATCACTGCACATTCGATGAAGCCAGCGAGGACAACTTATGCAGCTTCGTGCCCGCTGGGGAGGAAAATGGCTTTGCAACAGAAAAGTGACCTAGAGAAACGAGAAGCAGCAGAACCGTCTGGCTTTTAAATCCCAACACGAGGCCACACATGAACAGTGAAGCTTCTAAATGGGAAGAAAAGAATTCAATCGTTTCTGGAAATATCAACCACACGTGGACGGAGACAGCGCGGCCTCAAGCAGAGTCACGTACACCTAGGAAATCTTACCAGAACTTCATCTCTCTTCCCCAAAGGTAAATCTTTGGGCCTGGCTCATTCCAACTGGAGCCTTCAATAAATGAAGAATGGAAGGGGGTTAAGTGTAGCCGAAAAGACTCTACCAAGCAGTTAGACAGGTGTGGTGGTCTCTGGCCGTGCCTGCTTCCAGCTCTGTGCCGAGAGGGGTGGGACAGGTTAAGGAATTACATGTGCACACCCAGCTCCGCCTCCGCCCACGTCCACAGCTCCAGCGATATTTGCTGTGGGCATCTTCCCTTGCCCCGGTCATTCCTGTTCTCTTTGCCGTCTAAACCTAAAGAAATCGTCGGTTCTAGAAGTAGTAGACAAGAGGCTGCTGCCGGCCTGTGGCTTCACTGCGAATGGCAGTTCCACACGGCCGTGGCCAAGAACAACCTGAGTTTAAGGCTGGCTCTTGGCAAACCTGCTGCTGAACTCTGAGACCTTGAACCACTCAGAAATGGCTTGCCCTCTCCCCAAATATCTGCTCTCAGGAAAGGAACTGATACACTTAATACAGGATGCAGCCTAAATGTGTCACCTTTCCCAGAGTCCTTAACATTTCCACTGCAATCCAAAGGCCTCAGGCCAAGGGAATAAAGAGCTGATGCAGGACATCAGGGAGGGCAGGGCTCTGCTTGGCGGCCTGTAGATAGACGGAAAGCGCTCAGCAATGAGAGGCTCGTGCCCTCAAATAACAAATAACAAGGGATTTCATGTGACTAAGTGCCCCAGTGCTTTTGAGCATCACCTTGACTTGGGTGACAGGGCAGGAGGAAGGGAGCAGAGCTGTTTCTGGAATATTCAGACTCTCCCAGACTCATTGGGCTTGAAATTTACTGTTCAGCCTCAAACCACTTTTTTTTTTTAAAAAACTATATCATTCTGTCCCCAAACAGGTCAGTAAGACAGTGAAAAAGATCAGACCCCAAACTAGTTAGTACAGTGGCCAACAGCCAATCTGATCTAAATCAACCATTTAAAGCCATAACAATGTTTTCTTCATATTACTTCTAAAAAGAATAATCTACTTTCATGGGTTATTATATTCTGATTTCCTTTTGAGGTCTGTTATTTACATTCAGAAATATTTTACTGCATTAAAAACAGGATAGAAAAATGGGATAACTTTTTCCAAAGAACCGAGCCTGCTTTTTTCTAACTCACATATCAGGTTCAATTCAGTTAATCAAAACTAGACTTTTGCATTTATATGTACAACAGCAAAGACATGTAATTTATAATACAGAGAAATTGGTTTAGAAAAAAGCAAATCATTCTTGGAAAGTAGAGCTCTAAATATTAAAAACCATTCTCAACCATTCACATCAATAGAGGGAAACAGAAGCACAGATAGTCAGACGTGAGGCCACTCAGATCTGAATCTGGCTAGCATTTTTAGTGGGCATCTGTTGTATTTTAGGTACTTTGCTAAGAACTTTCACATATATTATCTCATTTAAAGGAAAAATTCCTTGGGGCGCCTGGCTGCCTCAGTTAGCAGAGTGTGTGGCTCTTGATCTCCAGGTTGTGAGTTTGAGACCCATACTGGATATAGAGATTACTTAAAGAAAAATTAAAAGTAAATAAATAAACAAAAGATTTCTTGTCATATGGATCCCTGCCTTAGATCTGACTTTATTTTTTAAAATTTTTTTAATGTTTATTTTTGAGAAAGAGACAGAGCACGAGCAGGGGAGGGGCAGAGAGAGAGGGAGACACAGAACCTAAAGCAGGCTCCAGGCTCTGAGCTGTCAGCATAGAGCCTGACGTGGGGCTCAAACCATGAACTGCGAGCTCATGACCCGAGCCAAAGTCTGATGCTTAAGCAACTGAGCCACACAGGCGCCAGATCTGACTTTAAAAGTCTCCACATTGACTGATGCATAATGGGTTACCTCCCACCCTATGCGCACAGACGCACACATCCTTGGCTTCATGAGAGAAAGCTTCAAAAGTAAACTGGTTTTAGGGGTGCCTGGGTGGCTCAGTCAGTTAAGTGTCCGACTTCAGCTCAGGGCATAATCTTGTGGTCTGTGAGTTTAAGCCCTGCGTCAGGCTCTGTGCTGACAGCTCAGAGCCTGGAGGCTACTGCAGATTCTGTGTCTCCCTCTGTCTCTCCTCCTCCCCCACTCACAATCTCTCTCTCTCTCAAAAATAAGTAAACATTAAAAAAAAAAAGTAAACTGGTTTGTAGTGCACTAGAAAAAAACCTTCATGTACAAAGCAAGCAGCGGAGATAAGAAAATCACAGGACACTATAGGATGATGGCAAGCAAGGACCTCACTTACGGCAGCTTTTGGGACCCCTATATACACATATATATATACACATATATATATACATATATATATATATATATATATTTTAATGTTTATTTTTGACAAAGAGCGGGGGAGGAGCAGAAAGAGAGGGAGGCAGGAGATTCCAAGCAGGCTCCGCACCGTCAGCATAAAGCCCAATGTGGGGCTCAAATTCATGAACCTCAAGATCATGACCTGAGCCGGAATCAAGAGTCGGATACTTAACAGACTGAGCCACCCAGACTCAGGATTGTGTAACAGTGGCTGGTAGTGAAGCTCTGAAAGTTGTCAGAACGGAATTGACAGAAGTAAAGTAAGTGGATGATCCACGGAGCGCTTCACATGATCTCATCGTGTTATAAGGAAGATGTGTCATTTGAAACATGACCTGGCCCCTCTCGATGATGTTCCAGGCTTTCCCTGCGTGTTTCTAGCCTCCACCTGCCCCCCCCCAAAGGAAGTTATTTCTCAGAAGGAAGTTATTTTTATTTTTAAGGAGATGCTATCGCCACTCCTTCCCTTTTAAAGTTCTTTGTCACAAGGCCCAAAGAGGTCTTACCTCCACCTCATTAAAACCCACAGTCATTAAGTGGCTGCTTTTGTTCTCCACCAATTGCTATTTTCAGGTCATTTAATTCAGTTCAACCTTTAGTGAACTGTTGGGGTGAGTCAGACACACTATGAAGCAGGAATACCAAGCTGAACCAGGTGATCTTTGCCTATGAGGAGCTTAGTCTCCTTAGGGACATACAGACACAACGTAAACATTCAGTCTGTCACTCAACACACCCATTCAGCAATTATCTATTCAGCAGCTACTCTGGGCTGAGTCCACTGTTAGTTTGGGTGTCCCCAGAAGCGCTCCCGAGACAAGTGCAAGAAGTTTATTATTAGGATGGTAATTTCAAGAAACACGGGTGCGAGAGGAGAGAAGGGAATGTGGCAAATAGAGGGTGTGTTATTAAGTGAGGGACCGCCTTGGCAACCAGGGCTTAATCCTGCTGCATAACAGTAAGAAATAGTTTAGTGCACACGCCTCAGTTATCCCACGTGAGGGGTGACGGAGTTGGCAACCGACAATTTTTGTGCACCAACTCAGTCTTTGGTTGAAAGCTGCTCCGGGGATGTGGTATTAATTTCCTGGCCCTTCTGGCTTGCCTTGCATGTATGGGCCAAGTGGCCTCTTGGGATCGGAGAGAGCCCTCAGAGATTCGAGTGTTGATGGTTAGAAGTGGGGCCCCAGTGCCATCAAATGGGAGGGCAACAGGGACACTGGAGGGCCACTCACAGCTAAGGAACAGGCACCATCTTAAGGGCTGGGCACGGGGGTAGAGGGGTGTGGGTGAAACAGATGATATCCCTGGAATTGAAGAAGAAAGACAACACACAATTGTGGTTAATGCTGTCGATGCTCTGTACAGAGTACCTGGGTGTTAGGAAGAGTTATCAGTCTGGTTTGGGTAGTGGGTGGGGACAGGAGGTGATTGATTATAACACAAGTGGTCGAACAGGTATATATGTCAGGGCACAGTGACAGTGAATGAGGAGGGAGCAGTTAGTGATAATCTCTGAGACAGAATCAAGGAAAGTTTTGGAAAGGAGATGTTGACTTATGGTGCCTTTAGGCTCAGACAAAATGTGTGAAACTAATAAATGCACGTTCACCTCTCAGAAAGAAATCTATGGTCAAGGTCTGGCATCTTACAAGCACTGAGTTCAGGGATATCCCAGGGTGAATGTATTTGCAAAAGCACTGGAAGAAGTTAAGACAACTTGAGATGAAAGGCCATTATGATGGAGATAAAGTGCTGGTCTCCAAGTCAGAGACGTGATTCAATTCCTTGTCATTTAGGGGCACCTGGGTGGCTCAGTAGGTTAAGTTAAGTGCCTAACTCTTAATTTCGGCTCAGGTCATGATCTTGGAGTTCGTGAGATCAAGCCCCGTGTTGGGCTCTGTGCTGACAGCATGGAGCCTGCTTGCGATTCTCTCTCTCTCCCTCTGCCCCTCCCCACTTGTGCACAAGCATGCACGCGTTCTCTCTCTCAAAATAAATATATAAAACTTAAAAAAATGCCTCGTTGTCATTCAACAACTTGGCAAGACACAAGTCTCTGTGGGTGTCGGTTTCCTCATACGTAAAATGGAAGGGTCCCAGGAAACCAACCTGCCCTCTCCCAAACCCTCCCCACCCCTACCTCACCATAACGAGCCTCCTTGCAACCATGAAGACAAATCTCCTCAAGCCCTTTATCCCTTTCACATCAGTCACCCAAGACTCCAGTCTCCGAGGCCACCTCATCTCCCTAGACGCTAATCCCCACCTGGCTCTGACATTGTCTTTTCTACTCCCATCTTCCACCCCTTTCCACCTCACAGTGTCCTCTGGGACTCAATGGGCAGCAAATCCTCCATCCTCAACCTTTATAGTGAGTGTTCCCTTCACCCTCTTTTCCTGAGTGTGGCTCACCCCCGACTCTCCCCAGTTAACCCGCTTCCCTAACGGTCCTTCCCAGTTGTGGTTGTGCTCTCTTCCTGGCACCTGGGATTCCCGAACCTGCCAGTGGGAGAGATGCGCTCCTTGTTGGGGCTTCCAGACCTTCCTCCTCTCTCTCCCCTAAAACTCCCAGCTCAGCTCTCATCAGACTGCACAGCACTCCACTTGTACAGGCCATCCAGGGACCCCAGTCACCCACCTCTGTCTCTGAAGCTTTAGCTCCTGACTCATTGACCCCTCAACACTGCCACAGCTAATGCTGATTTCAGTACCCTTGTGCAGAATTCTTCCGATGCCCATGCCTCTGTTTCCTGACCTCATTTCCTCCAAGGATGCTGTCTGTCCACCACCCCAACTCAGTCACCACTCTGGGTTACATTCTAGACTTGATGCAGTAATCATAATTCCAGTCTCCAAACACCGTCTCCTATCTTCCCAGCTTACTCTCTCTAGTACCCCCAACTCCAGCCAAACTTTGACCCCACTTTGACCCTAGGAACTACCATTTTTTAGTAGGAAAAACTACCTATTTTTCACTGCCCCTCGCTTCAGACCCTCACTTCCTGCCTTAACCTATTTAAATTTCATAGGAAAGCACCATAGCATGCATCTTCAAATCTACGGTACATCCTCAGATCTTGCACCTAGTTTTTGCTTGGCTGAACCACATCCCTGGTTAGACCAATCCAACTCTGCCTACTTCGTGTTCCCTCCTGTGCAGTGGAACATGAAGAAAAAAATACAAAAACCTGCCGACTGGTCTCAAGGGCATTCTTACTGCTGCCTGGCAAGCACCCTATTTCCCTGGTCCATTCACTCTCCCTGACCCTAAAGAACGATTTCACTTTCTCTTCTTGCTACTTTCTCCCTCCTTCTTATTTCAATGAGAGAAACTGAAGCAACCAGAAAGGAACTTCCCTATAAGCTCCCACAAGCACATCTATCCATCTACTGGCACCTGGGCCATGTAGGTTATCTTCCCTCTTACAATGGCTGAAGCATCCTTGCTCCCAGCTTAGGCCAATTCCTTGAAATATGTAACAGATCCCAATCCCTCCTTCTCACTTACAAAGCACTGCTCCAGCAATCCACCTCCCCTGCATCACCAATTTCTCTCTCTCTACTGGATCATTCACACCAGCATATAACACACTGTTTTTTCTGTCTTAAGGAAAGACTCTCAAACCCATCTCCCCTTTGAGCAAGGTCTTAGTCAGCTAGGCTATTACAACAAAATACCACAGACTGGGGGGCTTAATCAACAGACATATATTTCTCACAGTTCTGGAGACTGGAAATCTGACATCAGGGTGCCAGCACGACTGGGTTCTGGTGAGGGCCCTGTTCCTAGCTTGCAGATAGCTGCCTTCTTGCTGTATCATCAGAAGGCAGAGAGAGAGAGAGAGAGAAAGAGAGAGAGAGAGAAAATTCAGGGGAGAAACAGTTCCGTTCATAGCAGGCTACTAATTCATTTTTCACCTTCCCTTTATAACAAAACTCCTAAGACAGTGTGTATATTCATTGTTGTCCATTATTTCATGAAGCTTCTCTTATCAGGGACACTAATGCTAACTCCATGTTGCTAAATCCAATGGTCCATTCTCACTCCTCATCTAACCTGATCTATCAGCAAAATCTGACACAGTCTGATCACGTCTTCCTTCTTTAAATACTTTGTCCACTCTGCTTCCAGGACATTCCTCTCTCCTGGATTTCTTCATCCCTTATACTTAGGTTTCCTTCCTGGCTGCTCCTCATCTCCCCAACCACTAACTGGAGTGCCCCAGAGCCCAGTCCTTGGACCTCTTCTCTTTTCTATGAAGTCACTCCCTTGATAGGTACGTGGAGATGCTTCTATTTTTGATATCTTCGGGCCAGGGCTTTCCCCTTTATCCCAACTGATATAACAGACCACCTACTTGACATTTTCACTTGGATGTCTAATGGGCATCTCAGTCTCGGTCCTGATCCTCACCCCCTGCTCAAACCTACTCCTACATCCTTTCCAGGTGGGTAAATGGCAAACTTTATTCTTCTAGCTGCTCAGGACAGACACATTGGAGTCCTCCTTGACTAGTCTTTACTGAACATCCAACATCTGATCCAGTAGGCAAATCCTGACAACTCTGTCTTCAAAATCTACCCCAAATCCAGTTACTTTGCACCTCCTCCCCTGAAATCATTCTAGTCCAACAATCGTCATCTCTCACCCGAATTGTAGCAACGACCTCAGCAATCTCCCTGCTTCTGCCCTTGGTACCATCAGTCTGTTCTCAACACTGTGACCAGAGTGACCCTGTGACCATAAGGCAGGTGATGTCACCCCTCTGCTCAAAACCCTTCAATGGATTCCCAGTTCATCCAGAGTAAAATACAAAGTCCTTCCATGACCCACAAGGCCCGATATATTGGCTCTTCTCCCCTCACTCTCCACTTCTCTGACCTCCTCTCCCAGGGCCTGCTCCTTGGCTCACTCCGCTCTGGCCATACTAATTGTTTTGCTACTCCCTCTTGCCTAAACTACTCCAATCTCAGATATCTAAATGGCTTGTTTCCTCACCTCCTTCAAGTCTTTAGCTGAACATCATCTCCTAGGTGAGGAACACCCTTCCACCCTATCCAAAATTGCATCTCCTCTCCTGCCTCCAGAAACATGCCATCCCCTTTCCCTGCTTTTTCCTTCTTGGCCCTTTTCACCAACATACTATATATTTTACTTATCTTGTTTGTATCCTATCTCTCCCATCTAGACTCTAATTTCCTGGAAAGGCAGGGATTTCTTCCTGTTTTGTTCTGGTACCTAGAATGATACCTTACACATAGTAGGTAGTCAACAGGTATTTGTTGACCAAAAGAATGAACGAAATCCTAACAATGAGGATGGAGACTGTTCTTACTCTCCATCACATCTCCAGTACCTAGCACAGTGCCTGGCACAGACTGGGCAGGCAACAGTTGTGAATGGGAAGGACTGTTGTGAAGATGAAGGCACATAAAATATATGAAAGCATTAATAACAGAGTTACAGATATAGTTATTCCATTATTCCTGTTGGTTCCTCAATGCAAAGTAACTAATTTAAATTTATCACTTTCTCATGGTGGGGGGGGGTCTTCTTGAATTACTTTTATTTTTTTAAAGTTTATTTATTTTTGAGAGAGAGAGAGAGTGTGCAAGTGCGTGAGGGGGGAGGGGCAGAGGGGGGGGACAGAGAATGTGAAGCAGGTTCACACTGTCAGTGTAAAGCCCAATGTGGGGCTTGAACCCATGAACTGTGAGGTCATGACCTGTGCCAAAGTCGGACGCTCAACCAACTAGGCCACCCAGGCATCACTTGAGTTACTTTTTAAGAGTGAAGGATCAAATGGGACTAGATTAAACATTTCAGATCATGTTGTAGTTATGTGTTAAAACAATATAAACCCATAATAAGGTAATGTGTCTCAGGAAAGTGGGTAAGGTTGGCGTACCTAACCACTGGAGAAGAGGGTGGAATGGGGTGAGGCTAGCACTGACATACCTGGATGTCACTGGACTCCCTGCTAATAAGGGGAGTGACAAGGACGTGTGGAGGGATGGGGATTACGTGGACCTCTCTGATGATGGCTCTACCCCTTCCACCAGGCAATCCTAACAAATTTGGAGGAAGTGTTATGGTAACAGCAATAGGTGGTTCAGAACTCTGTAAGTAAGGCTTTGAGATCTACTAAGGACCCCAATCTATTGGTTCTAGAATTCCATCCAAGACAGTTCATGACGTATCCCTAAAAACTACTGTTAGAATCATAAAGTACACATCCAGTCCATCCTCAGTCCTTGAGGTTGGCCCATGGATATAAATGTGGACCCATGCGGTAAGGCGTATCCATTCAGTGCTCACGTCGGTTTAGAAACAGTATATGGCAGATGCTTCCATCCACTCTCAGACTTTTCCACTAGTCCTGTATGGTAGCTTATTCAGATTACAGAGTGTCAGGCCCAGGCTTTGGGCAGAGCGCGAGGTCAAAGATCAACCTCTATGCACAGGTTAGTATGTACCCTTGCCTGCTAGGGCCTCCTTGCACAGCAATGGGAGACCATCCCTTCTCTGTGAGGCCTCTGCCATCTTCTGGAAGGCTGCGACACGACCACTTCATCAAATTCAGTTCGGATTCCTCCCACTCGAGCACTTACATCTTACTCAGCTGATTACAACAAAGAACCAAAGAAAAATATCCCAGAACACCTTAACTTAAAGAACCTGACCTAGAAATTGCCATATGGCCACCAAGGTTTCAGCTCTGAAAGGAAGACAAGGAATGCTGAGTCATTCTGCTCCTAAGAGACAAACTGCCACACACCCTCATTTCCAGGTCAGGTGCATCTTTTTGGTCTCGATGTCTATCCCTGAGTTTGTGACTATACTTATTTTTTGAGACAATAAACTGCCATTGTAAAGACCTGTGGGTGATCAAAGAACTTAATTTACACTGGTGGCTCTGTCCTCATAGAATGGCTCATCACAAAAACATTTACATGGCCAAAAATGATCTCCCAAACAGAACCTAATTACAGTAAAAGTCTCATATGCTTCAAATTAGCTTCTCATGTCCTTGACTCAATCATCCAAACATTAACTGGAGGACTACTATGTACGGAGGCCAGCTTCTGAACATACATTTGAGGAATCCCCAGTCGTTTCGGGAGACAAAGAGAAGACAAACTTTGTAAATAGATAAATTACAATAAAATATGATGGATGCTATTTTAGAAGGATATACAATGTTACTTGGCAGCAAATGGGAAAGAGATTGCCGGAGGGGAGGGGAGGGGAGGGGAGGAAGTTCAAGAAAGACTGTACAGAGGTGAATCATGGGAGCTGAGGATGGAGGAGGACTAAATTTGCCACATGAGGGGCTCCTGGGTGGCTCTGTCCGTTAAGGATCTGACTCTTGATGTCGGCTCAGATCATGATCTCATGGTTTTTGAGATCGAGCCCCACGCTGGGCTCCATGCTGAGCATGGAGCCTGCTCAGGATTCTTTCTCCCTTTCATCCAGCCCCTCCCTCACTCACATGTATTCTCTCTCTCAAAATAAATAAATAAACTTAAAAAAAAAAAAAGAAAGAAAGAAAGTGTGCCATGTGAGGGGAACTGCACCAGATGGGCACCTTGGGCCGAGGGAATCGAGTGCATGGGGCACAGGGAAGTCAGTGCAGGTGATGCATGGGGCAGAGTGGAAGAGAGGAAACAAATTTGCTGAGACTGGAATTTCTGAGTACTGGTCCTCACTGCCAGCCAGTACTGTGTGCCAGACACCCTAGTGACGTTTTTGAGAGTTAATTTGCAGAAAGAACCTCAACAGCTGCCTGGCACACAACAAACATTACACATATTTTGCTTTGACTATTACTATGTGCATTTTGGTGACACATGCACCACCACCTTAGCCTGTGGTTAGGAACAATTAAGAAATATTTGTTGAACGAATGAAGAACTTGTGGTTTCTAAGAAGGAACAGAGATGCTACATCCCACGGAAAGGTGAAGGGAAAGTGTTTTCTACAGGATTGCTTCAGTCACCTGAAGGTCATTCCACTCTTCCCAGTGGCCATTCCCACTCACCCCATCCAAAGGTAGGCTGGGGCAGCTAGATCACTGGTTAAAAATACTCATCACAGGGGCACCTGGGCGGCTCAGTCAATTAAGCATCGACTTTGGCTCTGGTCATGATCTCACGGTTCATGGGTTCGAGCCCTGCATCGGGCTCAGAGCTGACAGCTGGAGCCCAGAGCCTGCTTTGAATTTTGTGTCTCTCCCTCTTTCTCTGTCCCTCCCCCGCTTGTGCACACTCTTTCTCTCTCTCTCTCTCAAAAATAAATAAACACTAAAAAAAATACTAATCACAAAACTTTGCATTTGCATGGCATTTTCAGCTTACTTGTATTATCTTGTTTAAAATAACTGCTATCTTTAAATCCTAAACTTTTCATCTCTTGTCTGAATATAACCTGAAATTCTGTCTCTGGATCTAAGGTCCCACTAGCCTCCACAGGGGGAAGCTCAAGAAGGAACTGAAGTAATTGGCTGAGGTCCTGCCCATACTGACTCCTGCATCAACCCCTACACTAATCTGAAGAAGGAATGAAGGAAGCAATGGTATGAATGAAGACTTTGTAAAGGTGGTGCATTAAACTCCTAAACTTTAAAATCGCTTTGAAAAGTCACGCTCTAGCCTC